GTGCAGACATCGACAGGTCCATTCGTAATGGTTCGATAAAATTTTAGCGAAAACTAGACAAATTTTCGTTTTAATGGTAAACGTAATAAATATGACATTGATGATACAACATGTATCATCGATGTGACTGAAATTTTATTTGATTAAAGCGTAAAAATCGTTACTTGTTAGCTAGAATCACTGTTATAGGTACCTATATATTAGATATACGATTTCAGAAGAATAGGAATATACGATTAGACTATACGATTTCAGAAGAATAGGAACTGTCAGTTCTGTCTGCTGCCTGTGTCAGGCACGCAGGCGACTGCCACTTCCACCTTCTTCGGTTGCCAATCCTGGCGTAGACACTCCGGCAGTTCCGGCTCTTGCAACGCGTTGTCGTACGAGTATCGAGCCCCGTAGGCCTGCCGTTGCTGCAAAACATATACCTGCAGAAGAAAAAAATGATAATTTAATATAACATTCTTCGAATAACTGAAATCGAACTATCTTCGCCTCTGTTTATGCGTTTTTAAATACAAGAATTGGCACGAACTAATGAAAATTCAGGGTTAGCTTGAAGAACAGCAATAGACTGAGACTTGTCTTGTATTAAGACGAAAGAAACTAAACAGACTCGTAGTTTACAGAAATATTTTTTCTTTTTTTTTTTATCCTTACACTAGACAGATTCGTTGAAGTTACATAGTCATACCGAGTAACTGAGTAGCTTGCAACGATGAAATTTATCTTGGCAAGTGCGTCTTTTGCAAGCAGACTCGCTCAGGTATTTCGGGTAAAATCCATATCCCAGATACTTTTTGTGCCCGAACTCCGTTTCGCATGAACAGCTAGACTGTAAACATGTCCAAAGTATTTCGGTTGGTTTTATTTTTAAAATAAACACGAAGAATCGATAATAAATTTGTTTACGAGGCCATAACAAGCAAGATATCCATATTAACTGCTAGACAATAAATAAAATGAAATTTTCAACTTTGTCGTGAGGAGAAAAGCTATTTGTATTAAATTATGTATCTCTTATGTATTCGAGCCTCAGGGGCTGTAGATACGTTTGATCGTAGCTACAGTACGGGTTTAGCGATCCCGAGGTACCCGAGCTATAGGGAGGCGGTGGACTCCGAACAAATTAGTTACAACCCTAATGGAGATTTTAGAGAATGAAGAGAACGTGAAGTAATACAAAGAAAGAAATTAATGGATATCGTAAAAATGGACATGTTGGTTTTTGTTTGTTTGAATATTTTGACAAAAAGGTAAAGAATATTTTATTTAGTTCAAAATACTCACTCTGGCCCTGACATTGATTCTATTGTTGTGGAACGACGGCCTCTCGATTAATAGGTCCTCGTCGTTCCACGATTTGTCATAGCTCTCCGGTTGGGTATCGATGTTCAGAGTCTGCAAGCTCCATTCACTGCTTGCCAGCATCAATTCGGCGACTTCAAGGGCGTATAGCATAACCTGAACAACAAATGGCGCTATATTGTCACCGGACATTTCATAAAAACGTTCGGAATGCGTATTGTAAACTTCTTCAATCGATTCATCTATTTATTAGTTCTGGCAAACAAACGATAAACAAAGATTTACGAGCGACAAATTACCAATTACCAAGCAAAAGTAGAAGAAACATTAAACTCGATGATAATTTTAAAGCTGAAATTAATAATAATCTTACTACCATTTTTACATTTCTAAAAAATCGATTGTGGGGTAGATAATTTATGTGAAATTTCAAGAATCACCAACAGGTGGTACGAGGGATGGTTTAACAATTCGAAATAATCCGTAGGAAAGATTACATTTTCCTCGTGGTATTTTTAGATTAACGGTGTTAAATGAAATGCGAATTAATAATATTATATACTCGCCAGTTTCTTTAAATCATGAACTGGAGGTTCGTTGAATTTTAATTACGTAGCTAGAAGTTGTGATATGGCGCTTCAAAAATGTTTCCTGTTAACACCTTGAGCAGTTAATACATCAATTTATTTCAAATCAAATTAAGCAGGAACCATACCACTGTATATTACTCGACCGAACCTGATTACGACTGATAAAACTAGATAATCGCTGATGACAATTCAATTTCAAGTAACGTTTCTCCACGTATTTTTGTTGCATTATTAAAAAAAAAAAATAGTTACGTGGTAATGGCCGTGGCTGCGTTGTTGAATGTTTCCAATTGAAATTATGTTTACAATCATACAGAATATTTACACTTGACGCTGTCGAAAGTACAAAGCAAACATTCGTCAATCGTGTTCGAAAATGTATCGAAGTTAACAGTGACCAGCTTTCGATATCAAATTAAAAAAAGTGTAATTCTTTTCCAAAAATTTCACGTTCGAAATGAGAGTTCTAGATTGTCAACTATAGATACATCTATATTACAATGTTCACTGTTAAAAGATTAAGCAAAATTTTAATTAGAATATTCGCAAAATTATTTGTTAAAGTTTTGCCACGCGTCAGAAAATTTTACACAAATCTGCACCGGTACGATTTCACGTACAGTCAGCGTAAGAAGTATTCGTACAGCAACCAGTTTAAAATAAAATTAATAAGAAAAGAAATAAGAAGTTAAGATTAAAAGTAATAGACTTTAATTTACCAAAAATCTCGTCTAAAAATATGTAGGAATGTTGGTTAATTATTTCTTCCTCTAAAATTTATTAATAAAATAAATATCTGAAGTTTTATTTCGAATTGGTTCTTGTACGAACACTTATTACACCGACTGCATGTCTTCACTTTTCGAGTATAATTCGCTATTTCTTACTTACGTAAGCGATTACGATTTTCATGTCGATAGGAACGAATCTCATTAGATGCTAGTCGATGCTTGAGTAATAAAGGTCTTTCGAATGTCGCGGAGTTTTATATAAGGAGAATTAGGGAAACAAAATGGGCCACCACATCCCTCATTCACCCCCAACTCTCTCCAGCACCCCTAGATCAAAACATCTACGCTTCCTTTTCGACATAAATAAATCCATTAGCGTCACACGATCTTCAAACGGGGGTGGACGTGCCCCTAACATGAAGTTTTTGTCCATGCGTGACAGCTGTCGCAATTACAAAACTACCTGTCACAGGGGCCCGGATTCATTGAAATGGATCCGTCTTTCCCAGATTGCAACACAAAATTCTTCAGTTATTTTTGTCAGACAGCTGAAATCACCTTTGGTTGCTGTCAGTTATCGTCCTATTCGTCCCACGACACAGGTATCGCTGTGTAACGCGTCAACATATCAATTTCAGTACACGTGCTATGATTCGTGTTTACTAGCATTTACGTATGGACAGAGCAACAAAATAATGACGTTGTTCGACTGTTAACTTCGAGGGCTCCTAGTATTTAAACAATTCCCAAAACAATAAAATGGCGACATGAGTCTCCTCTAATTTCGCCTGGACATTCTAATACACTCTAATATATTTCAATTCGAATTAAATCCCTGACGTCGAGTACGAAAGTGACCCATTTGCCGCGAAATGAATAATTCTATGTACTACGTATAAACTTAAACAACCCGATTACTCAGCTATTTGCAATTATCTCAGTCACGTAAATTGGAGTTATTGTGCTTCTTCTTCGCTTGCCGTGCTCATCTTTCGGCTTAAATATCTTAGATTTCATACGGTATACGCAGCTTTTAACCCTTTGCAGTCCAGATTTTCTGAATTCACTCCAACTCTGTCGAGTCTCACTCGACATAGAACAGCAAAGGGTTACAGTGACAAAGTGTTGCAAGTAACTCCCGTACGAGCCCCCCATTTGTTTGCGTGGCGCCCGAGGCCTCCTAACAAAAATCTGCGCGGCAACCGTCGCGTTAATGAGTCGCGAGTAATTTAATTCGGGACACACGCACAGCAGGACACGCACTTATGCACGCAACTTCGGCTTTCACGGCCGCCAGGGAATTATTTTCTGCACCAGATACGTACCAGATCGATGGGACGCGTACTTACGGCCGTTCCCGCGGCATATTACCTGCGAACCCTCTCTGAACGTCCAACCGTCGTTGTTTTCGTTATTTATACGCGCGAATGCATTCGCTCGATCGGACGAGAGGTGTTAAAAACAACAACATCGAAGATAAAAAGCTTCCAATTGCAACGAAACACGCTAAAGTTTCCATCGAGTCACTGCGGAAGCTCCCGATGGAAATGACCACGAGCACGACCATGCTTGGACAAATTTTAATTTCGATTGAGAGAATCTTGACAATCACTTGAAGAGGATCGAGAGTATTTTCATGGATTTGAAGAACCTTCAAACGAGGACGCAGCTTGGATTCTATAATTTTTGGTGGTTGAGGGTGGTACGGGGGATGGTTTACACAATTCGAAATAATCCGTAGGAAAGATTACATTTTCCTCGTGGTATTTTTAGATTAACGGTGTTAAATGAAATGCGAATTAATAATATTATATACTCGTCAGTTTCTTTAAATCATGAACTGTTCGTTGAATTTTAATTACGTAGCTAGAAGTTGTGACATGGCGCTTCAAAAATGTTTCCTGTTAAAAATTACAAGCCGGTGCAAAATATAAGCAACATTTGGTTCGCCCATGGCTGGAATACCATGCTTTTTACAAGTCATTAAATTTTCACCCTGAAAGCTTCACGCACGTCGATTTTACAAACATCAATTCTGCATGCTTTAAAAATTTGAACTTGGACAAAATGGCAGCGGATTGGCTTCTTGAAATTCCTGTACTACAAATGTTTACGACACGTAACACTAACGATTGAAATGCTTACTCTGTAGAAGATATTATGAATAAATAGATAGAGGAAAAAGTTAAAAAGCTGCGAGGTCAACGAAAACGATTGTCCTGTTAGGGATCTCCAGGGACTCGGCTGCGTGGATACTCGTAACCTTATTTTCCGTGGGACGACACGTCGCGGAACAACACGTCACGGAACAAACGGCGAAACTTTCCAACCTCGTTCTATTTTGCAAAAAAAAAAAAAAAAATTGCTTCCAATCCGTTGGACCGAATGAGAGTGTGTTCCCGGCATTCGTAGGCGTCGCCAGAAGCACCAATGGAAGGTCATTTCAAGTACACGACTATTCGGGAGCCAGATTCTCCGAATAACCAACGCCTCCGTGCCCAACATACTTTACTGACGTTCGTTACTGACGTGTTGGAACAGTTTTAAACTCAGGAACTGCAAACGAAATTACGAACCCTTCGTACAGTCGGATAGTGGTCTGTAAGGGTTCATAAATGGGGTTAGAGTTGTTGTACTTCCTCTAACTGTTTTAGCTTCGTCGGTTATTGTAGTTCCTCTGACTATTCTGGTTCTTTTAGCTGATGTAGTTCTTTAATAATGCAAGAACCGCGAGAAGAGCTGCGAAGACTTTCACCAACAACAAGAATTACAAAAACAACATAGATAAATGGAAGGACTAGGAACAGAGATGCAAACTCTCCGTTTTTTTTTCGAGTCAAACTTAATGTCACGAAGGGCCAAGTTGTACTATATACTTTTACGTCATCGTGGTTTCTGACAAATGAGGTAATTTACGTTAACCTCGCATCGTATTATGCCCCTATCTACTTTAAGATCTATTACAAGTTAGAACTATACGACATCGTAAACCTACATCTGGAACTCATCACATAAGTGATTCTTAAGTTTTCTTTTTTTTTTTTTTTTTTTTAAATGTAATTCCACAAAATTTGTTGCATCTATGTCATAAGATATTTTTTCATTCGTATAAATATATATTTCAATCAACAGGTATAACCTACTAATACGCAGATGAAGCATACGAAAGTGTTTACAGTAAATCAATTAATTTTTTTTTTTAATATCATAACGTATTCGATTATTTAGAACACTAACATTATTTCATGCAATTATTCACAGTAACTATCAACGATAATTTTATGATTCTTAATACAATGATTTCTTACATTTATTTTAATAACATAATGCATCGGACCATTTGCAATCACGTGATTTTAAGAAAAATTGGGATATATGAATACGTAAAACAAATGTTCCCTATAATGTTTCACGTAAGACTTAATTGGACTTAAGGGGTTAGTCGCAGTCCAGAAAAATGAAAACGGACGCATTCTTGTGTGCTCTTTTTAAGGTAACTTTTATTAATGAGATGTAAATATATTACAAAGTATGTCTTAAAGAACTATAAAAGAATTTTTGTTTTAAAAGATGGTTTTAAAAGTGAGCAAGAGTTTTTCAAATTGGTGTACCTGAAAACAAAACTAAAGGTAGATGTAGAAAATACATATATTAGACTAACGGGTCCTTGATCGAAGGATTTTTTCCTTTCTTATATACTCTTCTTTTTATTCTGTATTTAATCGCTTAATTTATAACGAAAGTTGAAGTTCAACTTCAAATGTACGACACTTTGTTTTAAATTAATTTTTTCCAAAATCCTGCGATCACAGACCCGTTGGTCTAATATATTCTCCAAATCTACCTTTATTTTTGTTTTCAGGTATACAAGTTTGGAGAAATCTTGCTCACCGCAAACAAAATGGCCACCACCCACACCATCGCCTGTTATGACGAAATGAATTAACCTTTTTCGAAAACAAAAATTTGTTTATAGTTTTTAAAAACATTTTTTGGCATACATCAAAATTTCATTAATAAATATTATCATTTAATACCTTAAAAAAGTCACACAAGAAAGTGTCCGTTTTCATTTTCCTGATTGCGACTAACCCCTTGAGGGGGTATCCTGAATTAGGAGATCTAAAAAAAGCGGTTTTTCGTGAACTTTCTTAGGATGGACAAAAATAATTAATTCTATCGAACTTTTTATCCTATTTTCATACATATTTGTGTAGTCTGTAGAAATTTTTTCAACAAGAAATATTGAAATTGTGTCGACTGTGACGCACATTTGTACAGCACCTCACAATTAAAGCCTCCTATCGGTGGGAAAGATGCAGGTCGTAATTTTGGCTTGACACAAAAAAAAAACAAAAGAAATTTTCATTTTCATACATTTTTCTTCTATGTGAACTAAAAAAATTCATACAAAAAAAATTTTTACCAACTTTTTTATCAAGTTAAAGTGATTTTTTCTCACCCAAAGAACTCGTTCTTTTTTCCAAACTTGCAGTAATTTCATATTTCACCATTTTTGCGGGTTTTTCTTAGTTCACATAGAAGAAAAATGTATGAAAATGAAAATTTCTTTTGATTCTTTTGTGACGAACCAAAATTACGACCTGCATCTTTCCCGCCGATAGGAGGTATCAATTGTGAGGTGGTCTACAAATGTGCGTCACAGTCGACACAATTTCAATATTTCTTGTTGAAAAAATTTCTACAGACTACACAAATATGTATAAAAATATAATAAAAAGTTCGATAAAATTAATTATTTTTGTCCATCCTACCGCTTCTTTTAGACCTCCTGATTCAGGATACCCCCTTAATGTAACAAACATCGAACGGCAGATAGTGCTTCGTTTGTTTGTACAATCATAAAATAGATAATCGCCGTATAGGTGACGCAGTTCTTTCACGAAAATCGGTGTTCGACACATTACGTGGCGATCGCGTTAATGGGTTTCGGTGGTGTCGTTCGGTAGAACCCGTAGCCGAGCATGCGCGCTCACACCGCTTCACCCCCAGTCCGTGCGCGAGCATTCTATATAATAGGGGGAATCACGCGTAGGACCGGTACACGGTAAATGTTTTCCGGCGCGGGAACAGGTAAACGTCAATCCTTGGAAAATCATTTCGGAACATCGTCCCACATCATACCCTTTGATAGACGCCGTGGAATCAACGCTTTCGAACTGACGATGGCGAGTCGCTGTACCTCCGTTCTCTTGATCTTCATGTCGGTGGTGGTCGCTTGGGTGGCAGCTGTTCCTGTCCAGGTAATTGTTTTTAACGCTAGACTCGGGATTCTATGCATTTACGATTCAAGCTGGTATGACAAATACATGCTGAACGTAAGCAAAAAAGGTGTGTGCAGTTAGACAAAATGAAATATTAAATTATTATATTAATTAATAGATCATAGTCAACATACATTCTGCATGTTATGTAACTGTACACCATAAACTCGTAAAATCCGTAGTCTACTTACTACACTTAAACCCGCGAGTTTGAATCATCTTCTGATGTGAAGTCGTGCTTAACTAAAATTTAAATAAGGAACATTTTTCGTCATATTCCTTCGTGTATTCAAACTTGGGAATTTTCATTTTATTTGTACTTTGTAGTTAATTTTTAACTTTGATAACTGTACTCGTAACACCAAAAACGATCAACTGCTTCAATTCGAGAGAACCTTTGCGCGTGAATTGTTTTCCCATAGGGAAACTATCGATTGTTTATTTTCGAAGATTGGCTGTTTATATTTAGGCTGATTTTTTTTTTAACCGGTAGATTCTCGACCCTTTTATCGCGATACAGTGAATTACTATGAATTTGTGCTTATTTTAATAAATATTATTCTCGACAATAATTTATATTCATCGGTTCTACGAGAACGTGTCTTGTTGTTTGTAATTTAAAAACAGTCCTCCAATGAATATTTAAATGGTTGCACTATGTTAACCGGACAAAGGTAGCATAATCAATAGTCTTTTAATTGGACGGCTGGCTGAAAGAACTGGTGAAATATAAATTGCCTTTACTGTATAATTTAAATTCTAGATAGTAAAAATGATCAAATATTATTCAGGGACAAGAAAATTCTACTAATTTCATGTATATAATTTTAAATTACTTGGCCAAATTTCTTATATATATATATATATATATATATTGTTTAATGTTTTCCTATGACTAGCAACGTTCTTTCTTTGATGATAAAACTGACATATACATGATCATTCGTATAGCATAGTTCGTTTGTAGCGTGTCAGAAATGGCCGACTTATTTCACTGCACACTACTGCATGGAGCTATAAAGAATGGCCCTGGATAATGTTCACAGTGTAAAACCAACCCATCTTTTTGCTCATAAAATACATTTCCCTTGGTATTAATCTTACTAATCATTAATTTATATGTTAATTCGTTTTCAACAAATCTTGACTAATGATTTTAAATTACACCCAAGGACTTTTTCTTGATATTGAATCTAAAAAGAGAATAATTTTTCAAATTGCTTCGTTACAAGTTACCTAAATAATTATTTGATAATATTAGATTTTCTAGATATAACACTTGTGTCTTACATAATATAAATTATCCACTAAATTTTTTATAATAACTATTCAAAAACGCTTGACACAAGTGCTTCTATACAAACAGCATTCGTAATGTAAGTTAGAGTTCTTGCTGGATACGTTTCTAAAACATTATTTCTCGAGATTAAAGATAAATATGGACACATTTTTAAATTGAACGAACTTATAAATCGATAGGAACTTTATATAAAGGATTCTTCTACTATCTTCCGTGCAATCGCAAACTTATAAGGATCACACGGAGAAAGTTGTTCCCCCTCGGTTTTATCGCCAAGCCAATTTCGTTATTTCTGAATAACGATATCAGCTTCGAATAACGACTTTGCAAAAAAAATTCAAGAATTAGGTGCTCGAAATGAAACTTCGTTCGAGGTACTGAAACGACATCTTTCTATAAAATAGAAAAATTCAATAAATTCGAACTAAGAAAACAATTACAATGCAAATGATTATCTTTAATAATTTTATTATTTCTTTTATTATACCCAAAGAGGAATCAAAATGATAGAGTTAGGACAAAGGGGGACGTCCCGGACTGGGACGTCACGAGCGCAACTTGTTGCGTCCACGCTATATCGTACTCCTATCCCAAACAACGCTTTCAAGTTGGCTATTTTCGCTATACATCCCGTGTTAAGAATACACAAAACTCTCGGACTTTACCTAGACTGCCAGATATAGTTGTTTTGCTCTCAGTAGAGCGCGCCAAATTTTCCATGCTCGAGTTAATGTCTCTTTCTTTCTTCCTTACATTCACCTATATTTTTCAGTTTCTCTTTCTCCGAACTATTTATCTTTCCTCCCCTGTTGCGAGTGAACTGTGCTCTCCTTGGTTCGTCTAATTTTTTTTTCCACTGCACTGTCTTCTTTCTATTTCTTTTTTTTTTTCATTCTAACTTTGTGCTCCTTAGTTCGCCTGGTTTTTTTCTCCACGTGCTGTCTTCTTCTTTCTATTTCTTTTCTTTTTCATCTAACTTCGCGCATCCTAGTTCGCTTGATACTTCCACGCTTTGTCTTCTGCTATCTTTTTTTCCTTCTCTTTTCGGTCCAACTTTTTCCTCCTTGGTTTTTGCCTGGTTTCTTTTTACACGTTCTCTTCTATCTATCTTCTTTTCCTTTCCTTTTCAGTATCTGTTGAATGTCGCATGCCCTTCGAGCGATCGGTTCGTTCCTGTCTTCCAAACAATCGACAATGTTCTTATTTGCGCGACTTTACCGTTCTTTCTAGCGTCGATTATTCGTTGTTAAATGTTATAAAATAGGTGAATTAATGTTTCACACGTCGAAATGATAAGTCGAAATGATCGCGTACAGCTATCAACGATCGAGCGTAAAGGCACAAAATTAGTTTCTACATCCCTGTTTCATTGAAAAAAAATCGAAATAAAAATTCGCGAAAATTCGAAATAAAAACCTCAGTAAACAAATCTTGTTAAATCGAGATTTACGCCCGTCCTCCCTCAAACAACAAAAAACAACCCCGCTGGGCCGCGAAAAGACGTCGTTCACGGTCGCGAATTGTGTCGTAGCGTACTGTTGTATGGATTATTTCGTTATCTCTTATCTGCTTACCTCATCGTATCTGATGCGGCACGAAACTTTTCGCGGAAGTTGCGCGCGTTTCGACTCTGTGTGCTTCCTCCTCGAGGGAGCACTCGCCGGACGAGATAACGGTAATGGAGTAACGAACTTTCTTTCCCCGATCGCGAGAAAAGGGAAGGTGACAACGAATCGGTAACGAAACGGTCGCACACGATCCCGTTCGCGGAATCACACTTCCACAGAGAGAGAGAGAGAGAGGAAACTTTTTCAATGCATACTGATCGGGACCGGCACTCAAGTGACTCGCGGGACGACCAAACGCACTATTCAATAGCTTACGCGAGGAGAGATACGATAGTTTCTTAGCCGGGTGATTTTCCAAAGTATTTGGATGTCGCTCTCCTAACAAACAAGAAAACTGCTTCTAACATGAGCGACAGATTTAAAATGACTCAGGAGAAATACACATTTATATTTAAATTCTGACGATTGGTAGGTTTTTCCAATAAAAATGAGTTCAGCTATATGAGACTGCTATACAGGGTGTCCCAAAAGTCGGGGAGGAGCCGGAAATGGGGGGTAGCTGAGACGATTCTGAACAACAATTTCCTTTGCAAAAATGTCGGATGGGGCTTCGTTAAGGAGATATTAAGAGAAAACCCCGACCAATCAGAGCGCGCGTAGACCGTTGGAGCGGCCGTGGTAGCGAAGGCTACGCGCTAGGCGGCCGCGCCCAATGTCCTTCGATGCACGTCGAGTCACTTGTTCGCGTACAAGCGCGGCCGCCAGCGCGTAGCCTTCGCTACCGCGGCCGCTCCAACGGTCTACGCGCGCTCTGATTGGTCGGGGTTTTCTCTTAATATCTCCTCAACGAAGCCTCGAACAACATTTTTGCAAAGGAAATTGTTGTTCAGAATCGTCTCAGCTACCCCCCATTTCCGGCTCCTCCCCGACTTTTGGGACACCCTGTATTCGGATCAGTCTGTGGCTTGTGAAACCCTTGGGGGAAAATTTTTGTATGAAAGAAGGCCTTCAATTCAAAGCATTGTTTATATTCAGTATGTGTTTCATACAACAAGAGATTTAGTATAATATTTTCTAGACACATATTTTAAAAATAGTAACGTCAGTCTGTGGCTTGTGAAACCCTTGGGGGAAACTTTTTGTACGAAAGAAGGCCTTCAATTCAAGGCATTGTTTATATTCAGTATGTGTTTCATACAACAAGAGATTTAGTATAATATTCTCTAGACACATATTTTAAAAATAGTAACGGTATTAATATTTTGAACAAAGAAGTTCTACAGTGGGTGTAGAAAGTACTGGTACATCGATCAATTTCCAAAAAAAAAAACTGTGTAAAATTGTAATTTATTAACTTATTTTTGATAAACAATGACATTCTACATATTTCTCGAAAATCTCTAGAATAGATAGAGAAAAATAGCTATGTAAGTTGTGAAATTAACAAGAGAAAAACAATTAATCGATAGAAATATTGAAGCAATAAACAATAAAACTTGATTAAAAAAAAGAAAGAAATTTACAGTAATTTATAAGTATATAATACTTCCTTCGAGGGATTTCCGTTTTGATCTTATAATTATTGTAACTTTTCTAAGCATTAAATTAACTAAATTATTAGTTATACGAAGTGGGATCTTCTTCAATTCCTCCATTAGAGCCATTTTTAAAAGTACTTCACTTGAAATTTGATGTTTTCTAATTCGTACAAAGCAATAAACTAATGTGTTTACGTTACAAACTCCACTGTAAATGGTTCGTCATAACTAGACTGCGGATCTTTATGCATTTATAGGAAATTTGAATGTGCAAGAAACTACAAAATGCAAACAATATGCAGGAATATAAAAAAGATTGAAAGTAGAGTTCGTGTTACAATATTTGCAGAATAAAATAAATTCCTATTTAGGTTAAATTTACCTAGGCACGTTCGCGAAGATTTTATTTTGCATAAAGACCCGCGGTCTAGCCATAAGAATTGTTCAAAGACTTATTGCTTCTATACTTTTACCCACTTTTCGCATTTTTTTTTTGTTAATTTCACAAATTATATCAACTATTGAATGTTGTTTGGACTATATCTACATATCTTAGAGACTTCCGAGAATATGTAAAATAGCATTGATTATAAAAAAAAGGTAAATTAAGAAACTACAATTTCACACAAAAATTTTTTGGGAAATTGATGGGTGCACGAATACATTCTACCACCCACTGTATATTACTTACTAGAAAGCAATCAGAAATCTAACTTTTAACCGATTGTTCAAATGTTATTACTGAACTGAAATGTTAAAATATTATTAGTGCACTCAAAACTGAGCAAGATATCATAAATCAGTTGCCACTAATATTTGCCATTCGCATTGATATTATACGCTAAAAAAATAAACCTGTTATAACGATTATACAACAGGATAATTCTAGCGTAAAATTTAAATGAAATCAAAAATCACAATACTATGTAGGACTGCCATTAATTCAGACTATTACGAGAATTATATGTAAAATTCAAATTTGTATATTCATCATTGTATCTTCATCAGAGTATGGCCAACAAGTTCAGAAAAGTTTCCTGAAAAAAATGAGCCCAAACACGACTACGTTTCAACTACTTTTATTCGTACATCATTTTAATGATTTCCAAACAATTTTCTACGACGCGTAATCGAAAGTAATCCGAATGGTGTCGCGTTTGGATTCATTTTCATCGGCAAAACTTTCTAACTTTACTAACGCACTGATGATATTTTCGTGGCGATCCACTGACAAACACAAAAATTCCAAGTTAGATCATTGGATGAAATTTAATCCTTCCTATGCATGTTATTACTCTCGTCGTATCAAGATGATTACTTCATTTATCAAAACAAAGCTACCATCTTCGTATCAAGCCAATTACTAATTACTGTACTTATAAAAGTAGAGAGCTTCATCGCGATACATTCGAATCCATCGCTGTTTTCATTGAATACTTGCTCACTTCTGGGTTTTCGAATTGACGACCGAAGGAATCAAAAGTTCTCCTAAGGCAGCTGGCGGAAGGTATTGGGTGTCGACTCTCTCGTTTATCCACCTTAGCTTTGCGACACGTAGGGAATCGATAGTGGAAAAAGTGAAGAAGACGGAAATTATTTTCGGTTGGTTTATACGAGTTTCCAACGGAAGGAGCAAAAACGAGGAACAATTGTTCATAAGGGATCCTCGGAAGTCACGTAGGGTGCTCGTGTAATACTTGTTACGTGCCTCGGTTGCACCGACGTTCGTTCGTAAGTTGATGAAAATTTCGAAACCGAGGGAAACATAATCCAACATGCTGCAGTCGTGGAGGGACAGTTTCGTGCGACCAAATCCCTTTCGCGTTTAGAACTTTTCGACATGGTCTAGGATCGTTCGTTCGAAATTGGAAAGCGCGGTCACGATTCCCTGGCGACAACTAATAGTCTTCTTAGAGCTTTCGGAAACTGACTGAACCAGACGTTCCGTTTTTGAAGGTAGACGTTCCATTAATAATATTAAAGATCGTAAATTACACGTTCCGTTACACGCGGTCAGCTGCGTGTACCTCATCTCTGAGTCCCATTTGTAAACATTGGAAACATCCGAAACATCACATACCAGAAACTGATTCCCATCTACAAACATGATAAAGGTGCGAACGCGAGCGTATAGCAGTACGTGTGCTTTGTAATATACAACACCAAAGGTCAAACATCGACCGAAGTAACAGGAAAAATGCTGTGATTACCGAGCGTTGATAAATCTTACATGACCAGGGAATACTTCGTTCCTTCGTGTATTTCAAAAATACATTTTCATACCGAATTAGATAACACTATTTGGATTCTATTGGTTTTTTTTTTTTTTTTATTTTTATTTTAGAAATCAATTGCATAAAACTGGACTTGCCTACGAATCAAAGGTCATAGTCAGAGAAGACGGGACAATTTGCCCCAACGTAAATAATCATTTTTAAAGATATGTTCCTATAAATCTCAATTTAATGTAAGTCATAAATTGCACAATGGCAATTAGAAATATTCACTGGTACATATTACGTCCACTCTAGAGTCGAAAAGGAGAACGAAACAATATCTAAAACTTATTTTCAATAAACAACGACATGTTCGATTGCAGGCTGGAGCGAATACTTTGCGGCGTGATTTCTACGGACCAGCGACAACGGAATATCTAGGCGGATATCTCGAGGATCACGGTAAGCCTTGCGTTGCTTTATTAGTTTCCTACTTCCTGTGCGTGTTTCTTCGTTCTGTGCTACTTCATCGTGATTGGGTTTAATTGGATTTTCTCAGGCGTCGAGTGTGTCATTTGACGGGAACGTTGCTCGATGATCGATGAGATTGTGAACGTCTCGCTTTCGTGTACTTTTGTCCAAGCTACGATCTTATTCGTAGAGAATCCACGGCCACAATTGGTCCTTGGTTTCTCTACATATTCGTGTGTGTCTCGGGAAACATAAATTCTTGTCGTTTGATGGAAGTAAAAACTGTTGAACGCAAACTATTTCCTTTTGTGAACTTGTAGCTGTCGCGTGGCTAAAATGCTAGATGGCATTATTCAAAGTTTGCGCTGCAGAGTAAACTGCAGTTAAACTCAAAGGACAAATGTACTAAGCAGTACCGAGGTTAGGATTAGAAACAGCACAGCAGTTGAATGCACCTGCGCCTCGCTTCTGTCCACGCATAATTTCCTTTAATAATGTTTGCATTACGCGTATAATGCCGCGGGCTTGTTGCAACAAAGACGTTAAATTAATTAATTACGTAGAAATGTATTCCGAAATATTTTTTGTACATTCTTTTCGCTACTTAATTACTGCGGGTGGAAAAATCATTGCACTGAATTTATTCAGATTTTGTGTTGATAATTGTGTATTTATCAAAAATAGCCAATGTTTATTTATTTATTTATTTTACGTTTTTATTATCAACACAAGCTATTAATAAAGAGATGAGGTGCGATCGAAATGATTCGTAATATCCTAATCTCAAGTTCTGCTAAAACATCAAACATAAAACATCAGATATTTGCGTCATAAAAACATCAAATAAAATACTTAACGACGCGATGGTGACATAACAATGGTTAGGTCTTTTAGCTTCATGATTTTCTTTTATATACAATATTTATTGCCTGTACAAAATTTTAAAAAATACTTTAGGTAAATCTTAAACAGAATTAAATTTCACCAGACCTACTTAAGTAAAGTTTCTCTCTATCTTCTCCAATAAAGATTTGTACAGCGTAAAAAAAAATATTATAACCCGTTTGTCTATGTCAATTTTTAGTTGCAGTACCGACCGTATTCCTCTTAAACGACAAGAAAGACTAATGACATCGCGTAAACATACTTTCCCAACGGTTCCATGTGTCTACATTTTATAATAGTTCCCTATGTGCATATTCTGTGGTGGTTTTCCTTTGTGCGTAATTTGTGATTTCCCCTTGCATACCTTGGTGGTACGTATAATCGTTCGGAACAAAACAACAAAAGCAATCGAGCCACGTGTTCGTCCGTCGCTTCTCGTCGTCAGTATCGTCCCGTTTCGTCTTTGAAGAAATCGAAGGAAGATGGCGAACCAGTTCCTCGTGGACGGTTCAATGCAATTGCTCGATAATTTTAGGTTCGAGCAGAAACGAAGACCGCGGTTGGGATCGATCGCACTACATCGGTGGCGGATCACCAAAAGGTTCAATTTCGACGCTATCAGTCTCACAGGAACGATCGTCGCACTCTCGATCCGAGAACGAGCACGACAGCGAAGATCGACCTGAGAGGAATCTCGACCAGATCGGCGGTGGTAACCTGTTGAGAAGAAAAATGACCCAACGTTGGCTAGGGACGCGAGCGAATCTCGATCAAATAGGTGGAGGCAACCTGGTGAGGAACTTGGATCAAATAGG